GGAGCTTCCTTCTGGGTGCTGGGACTGGCTGAGCTTCTCTGGCCTAGGAGCCTGGGATGGAGGTGGGGAGCTTCCTTCTGGGTGCTGAGACTGGCTCATCTTCTTGGCCCTAGGAGCCTGGGATGGCAGCAGCGGAGCTTCCTTCTGGGTGCTGGGACTGGCTGAGCGTCTCTCCAAATTTTCTATTCATTACATTTTATTCAGTTTCTTAAATCCTGCACTCTGGCAACCCGGCCTCCATAGCCTGATTCGAAGCGCTGCCACTTGAGTCTAATATACTCCTGTAAATTTTGATGAAATAGAACTCAAATAATTTCAAGTTCACTGTACCTTTAAAAGACAGAAAAAAAGTTGTAATTAGTTAACACTGCTCGTGTTCTGAGACCGCAAGAACGATTCAAAATTCAGACTTTGAGATTGAAAATAGATTTAGGGGTGCCTCATTTTACAAGAAAATGAAGAAGATAAAGGAAAGGATTAATGATACAGATGGCTTAGGAAAGCATCATGACTAAGTAAATGAGCTTATTCTAACATGTTGTAGTGCAGGCTTTTCCAGCAATGGAATGCCTGTGACAGCACTGATGATCTGAGGACAAGGTTTTTGTCCTTGATGCACAGTGGACAGAAAGGATACTTAGTTCTCCCTTATTCCCCCACCCCGACAAATACCAGGAAGCAACAAACTAATGAATTCTGAAGGAATTATGACATTTATTCAACTAATCTTTGAGGAGCATCTCCCATAGTAAGAAAGTGGAAGGAGTCACCTTCTACTCGGCCATATCTTCAGTGTTCTGACAGGTGTAAGCAGCAAGCACCATGGGAAGACAGAGCAGAGGCATGAAATTCAGTTGGACCGTGCATCTGGGGGAGGTGGCCTTTTGGTGATCCTAGAAGCATATCCAAGAGTTACCCAGGAAATTAAGGAGAGTGATCCATCTATGAATGAAATATGAATTCAATATCTTTGAAGGCCCCTTCCCCACAGATACCAAAATCTACAGCTGCTCAAATTCTTTATATAAGATGATATAGTGTTTGCACCTAACCTCCCCTATACTTTAAAACATCTCTAGATTACCTAAAATACCTAAGACAATGTAAATACTATGTAAATAGTTATTACATTGTATTATTTGGGGAGTGATGACAAAAAAAAGTGCACATATTCAGTAAAGATACAACTTCTTCAATATTTTTAATCTTTGGTTGGTTGAATCCTCAGATGTATAACCTGTGGAGATGGAGAAGCAACTGTATCCTCAAGGGTAAAAGTTTTGGAAGGAGATGATGGTCAAAACAGTCTAGTATAGATGCTGATATACTTTGGGTTCAAACTGGCAATGTGAGCTATGAGGTAAGGAAAAAGTGATTGGGAAAAGTGGTTAGTGGAAATCTTATGCTTACAAATTTACCACATCTGTAACCCTAGATTTCTTGGAAGCAGACAAGACTGCCCTAGGATTTGAGGGAAACTAGGTGATCATGATTAAGACCCAATTCAAGATTTCTCTTCTATGGAGTCAACTGAAAGCATATGCAAAAAGGGAGACCTTTGGAGCCATATGTTGCATGTATATCTTGGGAAAATATTTGTAGATCTACTTATTATAGGGATAATTAGAACCCCTACTAATATCATGAAGGGAGTCTTTTAGGGTTTGACACTCTACCATGAGTGACCATGAAACTCTAATTCACCAAAGTGTTTCTGAAGACAAAAATTATCTACTACAGACATCAGAGATCATTTCCAACTCACTCGCTGTTGTGCCTAGCCCTGTGCAACCTGCAGTCAGGCATAGGCATGCTACTGACAATACCTCTAAGCTGCCTGCAGGAGTTTCAAGTCTCCAGTCAGTAAACCATTTGCATTAAAATCTAAGGTTTCTTTCTTGTTTTTAATTCTCTGCTTGCTGCCCTGCAGGAACAGATGTTGTTATTCCAAGCCTGGCATTTTATTGGAATGACTTAACTGCGTCTTTTATTGCCAGCTCATTGTGTTTTGGGTTTGAAGACTTTGCAGTGTTTCTTTTTCTTCTTTTGATTAAAATGATGTGCCAAAAACCATATAGAAATCAGAGACTGTAAGCATTCCAACACCGTTTTTGCAGGAGCAAAGAAGTTTCTCTGAATAGCAGGATCTGCTGTCCTTCTGTCTTTCCCCTCCCCTTCTGCAGAGCTGGCTCTAAACCTGCTCTCCTCTGGTGCAGCTTGACATACTGTGTCTAACGCACAGTGACAAAGGCTCACAGGGTGGGGAGGAGGGAGGCTATCACTCTCAACAGCGGGAAAGCCTGACCCCAGCACTTGGACCACCACGTAAAGTTTTCACAGAGAGCTTCTGTTTGCATAGGAAATATCGAGGAGCATCCATCACTTCCTTTCTCCCTGTGCAGTGGCTTCCATTCTTCTCTAAAACATGTAACCTTCTCACTCCATCTTTTTTGTATTCCCACTTTTGACATAGATGTAAGCAATTCTCTATCTACCTAAGAAAATGACCACATTAGCCAGAACAATGATAATTGGCCACTGACAGCTTACCTGGGAGGACTTTAGGAAATGGTGAAGAATATGGTAAACTGGAGAGTGAGTTTGTCTGAAGTGGGTAGCCATTACCCAGCTTTAGCCAATTTTTATCAGTAAATTTGCATAGAAACAGATGTTAATAGATCTCATAGTTTATTGAGAGAACCCCAAAATCCATATTTCTAATTAAAAAATACTGGTGTATAAGTGTTGGATTTTTTTTAACTGTGAAGGGCAGACAAAATGATCATAAAGTGGATTTACCCTATGGGTGCCCTAATGTTTAAGTTATGAGCCAGGTCCACTCTGACATTTTGCAGATGAGGAAACAGATCTAGAATGGTGAACTGATATTTTCATGGTATTGGAATGAATAAGAAGCAAGCATAGGAAGAAAAAGGATCCTGGTAAGTGTTCTGTGTCTCAAGCCAATCTTTTTGACTATCTACTACTATTAACAGCTATCCCTATACATATAGCTTGCTTCCTAACTATATGTTCTTAAAACAGTGTTAGTTTCATAGTAGATGTTCAACTCATACTTGGATGAATTTGTGGATGGGTAGATGGGTGGGTAGATGAATGGATACGTGGGTAGATGGATGAATAAATGAGAAAAAATGAACATAGCTTCTTAATGCTAAAGCATCAATCATATTGTGAGGAAGCATTGATATAAGAATGGTAAATCTCAATTTCTGGTTTATTTTAATTTATATTTATATTTACCTTAATTTAAGCAAGCTAAAGTGATGTCATTTTTAGAGTTTCTCTAGCGTTCACATCTGTCCCTACCATCCAGCCCCAAGTAGAAAATTATTTTGATTTATCATTATATAAAACAATATGCACATGAACATTTCTTGCAGCAATGTTTGAAGAAAAGTGGAAACTGTAAGCATTTAAATAGAAAATTAATATAATAGTCATTTTTCTGTTCACCTGTAGTTTGTTTCCATTTTCTTCTCTAATGTTGCTACAATAAACAATCATGTGCATATTATCTACACGGCAGATGTTCATATAACTTACATATTATGTAGACTTTATTGTGTACATATTATCTACACTGTGAAATATGACACAACCACTAAAAAGAATAAATTAAACTGATTCCATTGATTTCATCATTGAGGCTTAGGGTTAGGATTTAAGGTTAGGGTTAGGGTTATGCTACAAGGTACTAGTCAGTGAAAACAATTAAGATGCAAAAGCATGTCATAGCACTACCTTAAAGTTCTTAAAGTTCAACTAACTGTCCAGGCCTGGGAATGTGGCTTAATGATAGAGCATTTGCCTAGCATTCACAAGGCCCTAAACCATACCCAATAATACCAAAAATATTCTAACACTAATATATGCATGTGCATTTGTTTCTTTATACCTATATGTTTTGTTTTGAATTATGTGTGTCCAAAGAAGAAAATAAAATACACATATAATTTGTTAGTAAAATTTACCTTACTACTTACGTGGGAGATTAAATGAGAGAGAAAGAGGGATGGGCTGGAGGCAACTATTCAGAAAAAGGAAAAGTAAAATGTGACTTCTTTTCCAGGTTCTGAGGAAGAAAGTGAGGGCAGAGTGGGAGTCAAGAGCAAAATGAGATCCATTATAAGGCATATGGAAGGTGAAACTATTCTAGTAGTTCATCTGAAGAGAGCTGTGCATACTACACAGCTTCTACTTTGTACTTTCTTGTAATGGATTGCATCACTTGGGTTCATGTTAAGGAAATAGTAGAAAGATCACAACGGTGTTGCACCATACTAAAAAGATTTTCTTTTTTGTCCAAATCCCTTTTTCCAATCATTAGTGTTCTACTATTTCCCAGGGATACAGAATATACTCATGTCTTGATGGAAAAAGAGGGAGTTGCTGGTGTAAATTAAGGTTTTTCACAGAACCAGCCATACCCATATGTTGCTAAAACTTCAATGTGAGATTTAAATCCCTCTTAGCTGAGGAGTAGTTTTCTTTCACACCTCCTGCTATTTTTATTTTTGGGTTTTTTTTCCTGTAATCTGGTTTGATTTTGGGTCCACGTCAGTCTTCCAGCTGTATATGGCCCTAACACTCAATAAGATTAGTCTCTAGTCCCTGTGTCCACCAGGAGAATCCTCAGTCTCTATGAAAATGAGTAAAGTCAGCTCACTTCCTGCTCAGTCATGATCTTAAAGTAGGATCAACTTCCTCCCTGGTGGTATCTGTGTCCTGGTTCCAGCCAAAATACCCTGTTACATGTGAGCAGTCAATTGAACATCCTGAGGTTTGAGGGAAAGTCCTGCAAAAGTAAATGTTCAAATTTGAGAAATTTGAGAAAGAAGGAGAACATATTATATAAACCATAGTGTTCTAGGAAGGTAGGATGGGGGAAAGATGAGATTTGAAGTCTCCCTGTTAACAGTAAAAAGAGCCAACTTTTATGTAGCAATGGCTTATAATCTTCATGGGTTAATAAGTACTCTCAGATGCAAATCTGAACTCAAATACCTGGCCTACAAAGTAACTCACACACTTGGTGAATTCACACACATTTTATTCAATGAAATTTTTCACAAAAGGCCCTGTAATCACCTTAAATTATGTCAGAAAATAAAAAGTAAAAAGATTATAACTGAGCAATATAAGGACCCCAAAAGTCATTAGTGTGTCTTAAGAATATTATGTGAGAAAAACAATGTAAGAAGATAAATAAAGCATATTTGCAGATATAGTTGAGCAGGGAGAGTTACACAAACATCTCACACCTAGGCCGAAAAGGTCAGTTTTTTTTCTAAATCCAACCATTTGTCTCTATAATTTCTACCAACTCTTTGTACCATATTTTAAACTGCTGTTTAGAATTAAAGAATGCTCAGTGAGTGGATAATCAGAATATTGCCTCAGATGGTGCCTTGGAGATAGTTTGATAAAACTGGAAAAGCAGAAAATGTACACTAAACATGAGGATTCAGATTTCAAAATCCCATCTTCCTCAGCACTGCTGTAGAGTGGGTCTGGAATATATGTCCCGCAAAAGCCTATGTGGTAACAGCATGGTCCTCAATGTGACGCTATTTGGAGACAGTGAAAACCTTTAAGAAGTCGGGCCGATTGGGAAGTTTTAGATCATCAAGAATGCATTCAAAGGAGACAGTGGGACACCAGTCTCCATCTCTTTTATCTAACAGCTGCCACGAGATGACCAGTTTCCTCTGCAACATGCTCCCACCACAATATGCTGCCTCACCTCAGACCCAAAAGCTACAAGGCCAGCAGAACAAGACCTGACTTCTCCAAATCAGTAAGTCAAAATAAATCTTTTTTCTTTTAAAGTTGACTATACCAGGTATTTTCTTACAGTAACAGAAAGCTG